GTCACTTCTGCTTTAAACATGATTAGTTATATTTTCAAATTAACTAAGGTCATTATGTCTCAACAATTATCAATATATATATTTACGAAATTATAATAATGTACACTTTTGCTCTCTCTGCATTTTTTATTCCTCTCAAAATCTCCGCATAAAGGAAACAAAGGTGCCCCTTTTTTTTTTTTTTCCTTTTTCTTTTTCTTTTTTCCCTTCTTTTTTTTTTTTTTCGAGAATAAGGTGGTTGTATCTTAGCAATGATAAATGCAGATTGATTCAAGTACATCAAGGTAGCTTTTAAGCAAAACCTACAAATCAAAATTTTCTTAGTTCCCCCATTGATTAAGCAAATCAAATTGCTTTTTCATTTTTCCACAACTTGTTTGTTAATCATTAATGGGTCAAATTCTGCATGAAGGGAGGAGAAGAACACTGGCAAAATTATTGAGAAATTATTGGGCATGGATTGGGCTAACACACTCAAGTGATCAGTTGAACTTGTGACTCTGGTCCATACTGATTGATAGGTGATCAACTTCAATCTCCAACATGAGCTTAGGCAAATTGGCTAGCAAAATGTATGCATGTGAAGTTCTGAAAATGACCCCACACGGTTTGAGCTAATAAAATATCAACCCATTTTGTTGTTGATCTTAGTGGGCAGTATTGTCAAATTCTTTTAGGCAATTTGTGCCTGTTGAGTATTCAACGCCTTAACTTTTAATTGTGTACTAGATTCTAGATTGGGCCTATTTATCAACTTACCTATACTCCACTTGAAACACAAACCATTCATTGTAGATAGAAGCTAAGCCCATGACTAGATATCAACTTTGATTTTTTTTTTTTAAATGCTGGACTAGGATACCCACATAAATTGTTTGCATTTTTTTATTTATTTTAATGCTAAAGGTATTTTTCAATTTTAAGATGTTGGTAGGATAGTCAAGGATATTTGGTAGGTGCTGTCGTCTGCATCTAAATTAAATTCCTAAACTCCTACAATACAAATGTAATAAGGGAGAGTAGTAATCGATCCCACGAGGAGTTTTTGTTGTGTTAGTCTTCACCAATCCAGAAGAAACATGAAATAAATAAAAGAGGAGTTTTTAATTTGACCGAGATAGAACAAAAACTAAACAAATTAAATTTAGGAAACAAGTTTAAAATAAATGTTCAAGTAAACAAACCTTGGTTCGAGTCATGTCCACTTTTGAAACTTAAGATTTATCCTTAATGCAAGAAATATCATATTTTCATTCAAATATTTGTTGTGATATTGAAATCAATCTTTCCTTATGATTAGCCAACTAGAAACATGTATTCCAATTAACCATCATTATTTAACAACCCTACATACGATATAAGATTTAATCAAATAACGATTTTATGTATTAGAAAGATCAACAAAGCAAGATAACACAACACAACGCATGTAGTTGTATTTAATCTAGTTAAACAATCTTTCTAAGAGTCATTAGTTTTTGACGTAGCAAACCATACACTCCTAGTTGCTACACAAATCAAAGGGATTGAACAATTACGGGTTCAATATTCAATCTAGCTATAGATTATTCGATCAATAAACTAACCGCACACATTAGAAATCAACATAAACAATCATGAAAATAATCATATAAGAAAGTTTAATACTTGAAATAAACAAACCGATTTGCATTAATGTTTAAGCATCTCAAAATCTTTAATTTCCAAAAGCTTCGATTACCTTCACTAAGGAAAGGGGTTTAGCTGGTCATGACAACATTCATGGCAATCGTCATAGCAAGAGTGAGAAAAATAAAGTCGACAAATATTATGATGAATAAAACAATGAATAAAAGGTGTACGCCCTAGTACGTTATGTTCCTATTTATAGAGGTTTTCTATTTCCCAAAAAGGGTACAAAATATTCGCTCCTCTTTCGAAGGTTCGAGTCTATTCCCGATAAATCGTAACGGAATTTGTTTCCTAGTGGAGGTCCGTTGTCCGTTTCTACGGTTTTCAACGTGCCCAAGTTAAGTTGCAACGTGCCCACGCCTTCATACTCTTGTACGTCTATGTCTACCGCATCCGCATGCCCACACTATTACTCTTACATGCTCACGTTTCTCATGCTTTCCAATATTTGAATTGGTCTTGATCATAAAGTTTCTTTATATGGTTCTTTTAACGTATTATCAATCGGTTCCACATCTTAGCACATAGAATACAAAAGCGAGTTAAGGCCTATCATTTGGACATCTCAAAATAATAAAATGCAGGAAAATTAAGCAATTTAAACACATGTATTTTGATCACTATCAATATTTGATATTTTTCTTAATTTTTTTGGATTGAAAGACTAAAGTTTGGAGTTAGCATCTGAAAAATTTACATTCATCTGAGTATACTAGAACAATTTGCCGTTGATACTTTATAAAACTGTTCCAAAAAAATTAAATCTTAATTGATGTGTGACCTATTTTGAAGATATTCTCTATCGTTGAATGAAAAAAAAAGGGTTAGTTAAAGTATTCTTTAACTAGTTTATGTTCATCAAAACTAAATTTTTTCCCGATTAGATTTTAAATAAACTATTCACTTCTCAATATATCTATGAATTTTTTATTTATTATGGTTCTCTTTTTAAATTTAAATTCGAAATAATAATATGAAAAAAAATCATATATCACATGAGCTAAACGGTAAATATATATATTGTATGCAATGTGACAACAATGACAACAAATCCATGATAAATTGGGTTAAGATTATCATATACTATATGATATAAAAATTCAATACTTTATGTAAAAGGATATTGAATCACAAGCCATCTCTTTTATTATTATTATTATTATTGCTGTAAATGACAATTTTTCTACACATTAGCTCGGTGATTCTCTGATATTGTCAAATGACATGTCCAGGAAACAAAAAAGAGAGGAAGGAAAAAAAAGAAATTTAAAATGAAACATTTTGCTAGGATAACTTTTAAGATGCCAAGATACTTCTCATTTCTCAATATTCTTCTTCCTGTTGCACAAATCGTTGGATGGATACATGCCCAAGAATTCCCACTAAGAAGGAAAGATCATGAAAGGATGTACACGTGTCAAGATCAGGTTATTTTCATGAAAAGATTAGATCATATCCAATACAAAAATGTGCAAGTCAAAGCTATTATTTGGGCACTATAGCACAAAGCTAGCAAAAAGAGACTTTTTATGCAACTTCCCAACCATAATCCATTATCAAGGGGCAGGAAAAGAGAGACCTAGCTAGCTCATGGATTGCTACTTGGGGTGTGCATGCTTCCCATTGCCAAGTGTACAAGGTGGTATAATGGCCGGTTAAAGCTACAACCACTAAAAGTTTATGGACCAGCTTTCTCCTCCAATAAATGCTTGTTTCCTCAAATATGGCTTCTTGATTATCTCCTACAACTATCAGGTTTCAAAGAGGAAAAAGTAATGATGAAATCTCTCTCAATCCACCATCTAACCCTAAAATGATCTTGATTTGTTCCAATTAGCACATTAGGTCACATGATTCACGTCCATGCTAGTACTATTGATCGGAGGGTGAAGTGTGTGGAGACTTCTCGAAAATATTGATTTCTAATAATGCTATTTTGTTAATGATATTAAATATAGGTTCATTTGATTTGAAGAGAAAGTTTAGTGTTCAATCAAATATTAACCATGTCTTGACATTGTTTTACTACAAAAAAATAATTGACCTAATATCGATTGATGCAAAAACCGATATGAAAATATTCCATTATATATATATATATATATATATATATATATATATATATATATATATATATATAAAGAAAATTTGATTTCTTAAATTTAATAAATAAATAAATATCCATCATATGAAGCATAATGTAATGCTATGGAGATTTTGTGAAGGCAGATGTATATGGTGCGCGGGTAATGGCTAAATTACTACTAGTTATGCACACAAGTAATCTTTTTGGCCTCCGTGTAGGCTACTATTTTATCATATAGTCAATGGGGCACGAAAGCAATCCATCCTCCCCCTCCACTTCTTTTTATCTCTTTCATCTTTAAATAAACTTTTATTCAACTGCATTTGAGAGAAGGAAAATTAAATTTATGAATGATGTCATATAAAGCGTTTACCTAATAGCTAAACCAATAAATGGATATACAAAAAAGAAAAAAAATCAATATATAAAAATTATTTAGAAAATATTATTATTAAAAAATCATTCAAATTCGAAAATTTAAACTAATTATTAGATAAAATTTCAAGATATGAATTATATTATTTTCTAACGCTATCTAATTAATTTAAAAATACGATGAAATATATATATTAATCAAAACATGTTGTCTTTACCTTTTGCCAAAACAATCATGACTAAATATAGAAACGTGATAAAAAAGAAAAAAAATTACATCTTTCATTAGATCGAACTTTCATTAGAACTCTTTTATTATTGGTCACTCCTATCCTGTGAGGCCTAGAATGTTTAGAAAATAAAATTTGAATAGAAAATGTAATGGTAATTCTAAAGTTGCGAGAATCGTTGTATCATGTAGATAAGAACATTTGTCCTCCCCATATATATATATATATATTCTTTGCTTATTTTTCATATCTTATTTTATCGATCCAAACACAACCCAGCTAGCTAATTTCCAAGCCAACAATGTTCTTCCAAGTTTCACCCTTCATCATTCACTTACTTGATTGAACTAGTTGATGATAAGAACACGTTACAGTCTGAATATTTTAGTTGGAAGTCGGTGGTGCAATATCGTGAAGTAGTGCTGAATTGTGAATGTAAAATTCTCTCACACGATGACATGTGCAACATTTTCCAAAAGGTGAAAACCTTCACGGGTGACCCCCATGTCTACATCAACTCCCACTATAAATACCACTACAATATCCTTCCCACCTATACCTAAGTGATCATCGATTTGATTTCGCATCGCCTCATCATACACATCTTGAAGCACAGCCACAAAGCCATCACAAAAACAATGCAACCCAATTTATTTCATTTCACTCTGTTTCTTCTTTTCTTGATTGCTGGAGGTTCTTTTGCTCGTAATTTTGGTGGTACGGCCTATAGTGTTGCAGAAGGTGACAAGAAAGGAGTTGCCTCTCCTGAAATGTCTACAGGGCCTAGAGGAGAGACTGGTTCAGGCCATGGGCCTAACTGGGATTATAATTGGGGATGGGCTTCTACTCCAAATGGAGGATGGGGCTACGGATCTGGTTCTGGTCGGTCGCCGAATGGGTTCGGTAGGGGTTTCGGGTATGGGTCTGGTTCGGGAACAGGGTCAGGCTCAGGGTATGGTTATGGGTCTGGAAGTGGTGGTGCTCATGGTGGCGGATATGGTGCTGGAAGTGGTGGTGCCCATGGTGGCGGATATGGTGCTGGCAGTGGGTTTGGTAATTCTGCTGGTGGTGGCAGTGGTAGTGGTGGAGGAAGTGGTGGCTCGAGTGGCCACTGGACACACTCACCATACTCTGGACAAAGAACCAACCATGGGTGATGGATTCATGGGTTGGAGTCCATGTGTGCACATACTTTCTTCGATGAAGTGTGATGTTTCCCTCTACCTAAATATATATATATATATAGTATTTGCATGGTTTGTAAGCTATATAGTGTGTAGTTTCAGTAAGTTTGCAACATATTTTATCATATAGATATGCTTTTAGTAACATAACTATGTTTGCTGTGCCCTTAAAAATATTTGTGAAAGATGAATTATTTTCTTTCCTGAGTTCTTGTGGTTATTATTCTTTTATTTTCATTTTTTTCCTTCAATTTGGCATACAATAATAGGAATAACTATTAGTGATAATAGTTTATGGAGTCTCTTTTAGATAAGTTCTTACATAAACCTGATTTTGGACCAGAATATTTTCAAGATAATTTTAAGATAATTGATTAGTGTAATAAATCAAAATAGCATGATCGGTTAATTTGATACGATAGACTATATTTCTGTAATAATTTTTCTTTTATTCATTCAGAGTATGAAAAAAATATGAAATAGCCTCAAAACAGACAGAAATTTCCATATGAAACGAAAGGTAAATTAAGTATATATCTATGCAACAATATTAATTATGTGTGTTCTTATTAGTTTTACGAAGTTCCTAATCTTTGGGAACATTAAACTATCATTACTCCTTACTTCAACTTTCAGGTTTCTGCTACATGTATTTGATAAGTTTATTCTGGAAGTTTCTAAACAATTTCAACTACTTATAAATACATTGCTGTGGGGTAACGAGCTTGGTCATCCCTATACTATTCAATTTTTGTTAATGTGGTCTATTCTAATACTATTTTTATAATTAATGAAGCCCCTAGCTAGCTAGACTATCTTTTGTCTATTAATCTAGTCCTTCCATCCAATTCGTTCTCTAACAGTGTTAATTGGCTGTTAATTTCTTATCGAAGGTTTTTTTTTTTTTTTTTTGTTGGCAAAAATTAAAAATCAGAGAATTAAACTAGATATCAATTTTCACCTCTAGTGTTTTTGTTTAGAAACAACAAAATTGGTTTTAGATCTATTCTTGAGCTAGCAATCCAGGTTTTGGGTTTTTTAGATAGAAAGAGTGAGAGTTAATTTTTTAAAAACTAATTTTGTTGTTTTTTTAAAACAATTAATAGTTTACAGTGTTTTTTTTCCTAGTGTTTTTGTAACCTCTTTAGTTTTTCTTAATTTTTTCATCATAGGAATTAAAAAGAACAACATATTCCAAGTTGGCAGTCTAATTAATTAACTTAGTTAGAGATGGAATTCAACGAGAGGACCACATTAATAGATGAAAAGACAGTGCAAGGGCTTAATTAAGAAAATTATATGACAAGGGATGATATATTCAAAAATCGAATAGACAAGTATCACCAAGCACATTACTCCCATTGCTGCATCAGAAAGGATTATAGTAACTTTTTATCATCCTTCAATTTTTCATATAAAAGAAATTAGTCAGTTATCTGCACTATGTTGTAGGTATTATAGAACAAAATCATTTCAAAATTTAATAATTTTTTCATTATATTTTTCATAATTTTTTACTTAAAAAATATGATTTATTCTTCTTTATATAATAATTTAAATTTAAATATTAATATTTTTTTAAAAAAATGCTTTAAAAATATATTTTTTATTAGAATGTATCCAAACAATAAAGTTACAATTAATATATAGACATATATAAAATTAACTATGAAAATAAGTTTTTATTCATATTTAATGCCGATGAGAAGATTAATTTTTTAAAATATATATATATATAATGCTAGCATAAAAAATCGTATTTCAATAATTGGGTGGTTCCTTTAAAAAAATTATTTTAATTATTTTATTTTAAAGAAATTGGTTCTATAATATTACAAAAAATATTCATAACAAATAGTTGATATTATATGTGAAGAAGTATAGTTAATTTTTAATAAAACCGATAATTCTATAGTTTTTTATACTTTTTTACAACACTTAGTGGACTGACACACATTATGTGAAATACAATTTTAACCTTTTAGATTAAAATAATTATGCATTTATATATATGCAATTATCATTTAAAAATTCTAAAAATTCATTATATATATATATATATATATATTATACCAAATTTTTTTATTAAAAAAATTCATGTTTTAAAATTTTATTCCAAAATTCAAATATAAAGAAAAATAAATTATATTTATGAAATAAAATTGGATGAGATTTTTTATAAGAAATGATAAATTTAAAGAATAAAATTTAAATAATAAGAGTAATATAATCTGAAATATAAATTAATTTTAAAATATAAAAAATAGTATATATATTTTATCCTTGTCTTACTGCATGAAAAACACAAATAATAACATTCGATTTTTCATAATTTTTTAAAAACTAATTTTGTTGTTTTTTAAAACAATTAATAGTTTACAGTGTTTTTTTTCCTAGTGTTTTTGTAACCTCTTTAGTTTTTCTTAATTTTTTCATCATAGGAATTAAAAAGAACAACATATTCCAAGTTGGCAGTCTAATTAATTAACTTAGTTAGAGATGGAATTCGACGAGAGGACCACATTAATAGATGAAAAGACAGTGCAAGGGCTTAATTAAGAAAATTATATGACAAGGGATGATATATTCAAAAATCGAATAGACAAGTATCACCAAGCACATTACTCCCATTGCTGCATCAGAAAGGATTATAGTAACTTTTTATCATCCTTCAATTTTTCATATAAAAGAAATTAGTCAGTTATCTGCACTATGTTGTAGGTATTATAGAACAAAATCATTTCAAAATTTAATAATTTTTTCATTATATTTTTCATAATTTTTTACTTAAAAATATGATTTATTCTTCTTTATATAATAATTTAAATTTAAATATTAATATTTTTTTAAAAAAATGCTTTAAAAATATATTTTTTATTAGAATGTATCCAAACAATAAAGTTACAATTAATATATAGACATATATAAAATTAACTATGAAAATAAGTTTTTATTCATATTTAGTGCCGATGAGAAGATTAATTTTTTAATATATATATATATATAATGCTAGCATAAAAAATCGTATTTCAATAATTGGGTGGTTCCTTTAAAAAAATTATTTTAATTATTTTATTTTAAAGAAATTGGTTCTATAATATTACAAAAAATATTCATAACAAATAGTTGGTATTATATGTGAAGAAGTATAGTTAATTTTTAATAAAACCGATAATTCTATAGTTTTTTATACTTTTTTACCACACTTAGTGGACTGACACACATTATGTGAAATACAATTTTAACCTTTTAGATTAAAATAATTATGCATTTATATATATGCAATTATCATTTAAAAATTCTAAAAATTCATTATATATATATATATATATACCAAATTTTTTTATAAAAAAATTCATGTTTTAAAATTTTATTTCAAAATTCAAATATAAAGAAAAACAAATTATATTTATGAAATAAAATTGGATGAGATTTTTTATAAGAAATGATAAATTTAAAGAATAAATTTTAAATAATAAGAGTAATATAATCTGAAATATAAATTAATTTTAAAATATAAAAAATAGTATATATATTTTATCCTTGCCTTACTGCATGAAAAACACAAATAATAACATTCAATTTTTTATAATTTTTATCTAAAAATTCTTAATTAAAAAAATTCGTAGGAAAGAAAAAAACCCAAGGACCAGGCCAGCACATCTAGGCCTGGAGCAAATGCCCCATGCGCCTAGGCTGGGCAAAAAAAAAAATAGTGTGTTTTGAATTTTTGCCCACCACTGAAATTTTCTATGAACTCGATTATGTCGAAAAAGTAATGAGAAAGTCAAGTTTCTTACTTTTCAACCTCTCAAAACCAAAATTGGCTCTGTTCTTGTCTAAAAATATCTGAAAATTATAGAAATAACATAAGTAAACTTGTTTAGAATTTTAAAACCTATTTTAAAGCATAAAAAAAAAAAAAAAATCAAATCAAAATTAAAAAACTCAAAATGTTTTTGAATATCGATCTTCCTTCTCCAACCATTTTATTGTTTGTGACAACCATAGATAAATTCTACTTTTCGTGTGTGTATATATATACTCGATCATCGGGATGACCGAAACAGGCCTCTCCAATGCTCCTTCTCTCCTCCTTTCTCTTTCACTCATTTCTCTCTATTCTTAGCTTGCAAGAATCAAAATGAATGAAAAATAAAGTTCTAGGTTGAAAAAAAAAGTTTATAAAAGAGGGATTAGAGTGCAAGTTTTTGTACAAACAACGTAATTGCACGGTGAACAAGCAGTGATTTTAGACACAATTCACAATGAAAAAACAGTAAAATCACTCGTAATGAACAACGAGTGAATAATCTCTTGAACGGTGAATATACATTTTCTTTTAGTATATTCAGTAACGTTTTGCTGGAATATTTAAATTTATTTTATTTTTTATATAAAAAAAAGTGAGGTTCAAAGTCGTTGACATTCTTATTGTGCATAACATTCAATTTTTATGTATAGTATACTAAAATTATTTTTTATAAAAATAAAGGAGAGAATGTTGGATTATTTTGATAAAAAATAATATCAATTTTGGTCAAAATTATTAATAATCATTATAGTTTTTAAAATATTACTTTCTCTTGACAACCATATATATAGATCTTTGTTATTTGGCAAGATAAATTCTACGAAGGAATGTATTGTGTTAAGAAAACAACTTAGTTGTGTTTCGAGACAATCATTTCAATATTTTGATAAAACTATTTTGAAGATTTGGTCATTTATATACCATGAAACATAATTATATGATTTTAATTACTAATTTTTCTAATGATCAAAATATAAAACTCTAATTTTTTATTCATTTTAATTTATAATGAATTTATTTATTTATTATGTGAATTTATATTATTTAATTATGTTTTTTCTTTTTATGTGTTAGAAACAGCATGTTCCTTGAGAAATTTATTTTTTTCCCCTCATCCCCTTCTCTACCTAAGCCACATCAGGTGACCATTTGGTAATTT